CTCTTGAATCCCTGAGACAACAGATCAGACCATGAGGGCAATGCAGCGGTCATAGCACTTTGGCACCCAGCGGTTAATCGCCAGGATGTCAGAGCAGCCCAGTCTTCTACGTGACACCAGAACCCTCCACTCACCAAGCTTCCCTTCCCACAGACACCATCTGTAACTCTTTAGAAATAGCACCAGTAACAGCAACAATCTCAGGACAAGGGAGAAAAAGTGAAGGGCGGAGGAGGGGGAGCAGGAATACAAGATAACGCCCCGCCTCTCACTACCAGAAAAAAATAATCCTTTGTACCTCACATAACTTGGAATTAAAAACATTTTTCATAGCTCTTGCTAGTAAGAAAAGCTTTTGCCCTCCTCCTACCCTGAAAGTTGAGGATCTGGGCAGACATGTATCTTAATCACATACTTCTAAAGGCCCTTCAAAACCATGAATCAGCAGTCACTGAGCAGGCGTAAGCAATCAGTATCTATGGTAGACTTAAGTCATTCTAGTCAGAGTGGGGAGAAGAGAAAAAAGGAAAGGAAAAGTAGGTGGATGGGTGATGGGAAGACAGCTATCCCCAAAGAGGAGTGGTAAAGTACTGCCAATGGTTCTGTCAGGAGTTATGCTGCCCTAGCTCTACCAACCCTAGCCGAGTGATCTCCCGCTCATCTAGTGCTCACAAAGGTGCTCCTCCAGAGGAGAAGGGCTGCACTTGGACAACCAAAGCAATCACAATATCCAAGAACGCTCACCTCTCTTAGGACAACCAGAAGACTCAGCAGCCCACTCCCTGGATGGTGGAATATTTCATCATTAAGGAACTCCCCACTCGCATCCACTTAGCCCTTCAGAATGACTAAACTGTGAAAAGAGAAGTCACTCAATAGCCAAAACACCTTCTGATAACAGGAATTCTAATTTAGCCTAACTGGTCGCTCCCTTAAGGTGTTAGCCTTGCCTCAGGGCTAAGCATGCCTGCAGAACAGTGCCATGCCAAATAGTATGATTTCCTCGGGATGACACAAAATAAAGCCCACCCCTGTCAGGTCCTCAACCTTCAGTCCCTGAACAGAAGAGACGACCATTGATATAAAGTGGAAACAATAGTCTCTAGCAGGTAGAAGTTCACTCTTTAGTCATTAATTTACAAAACATAAAAGACCTACAACGAGTTCTGTTCCTCGGGAGACTAACCAGGAAATGGAACCATCTTTACCTTTCCATTCTCCTGGATACAGAAGATCGGACAGCCCACAGGCAAGGGAACATCAAAACTTCTGAGGACTCAAAGAGGCTGGCAACCTTTATCAGCAGCAGTTTCTAAATTCAGCCTCCTCCCAGTTCCCCTTGTTCTGGTGTACCCCTTAACCTTGTACAACGTGCTTGTCCCACTTACAATCTCTACTTTTCTCCTGTGGCTCCCAACCAATGGATTCTATCTGTTCTCTTCCAACATGTTGTAAGTAGCAGAAACATAGCACATATTACAAAGGGATATTTGTCCTTGGTGTTCCAAGTCATGAAAGGGAAGGATAAACAATTCCTTAGGTGGACATAAGAAAGCTTTTTAGAAATAGGGACTTGATTTTAACCTTTCAAAAACTTTTGATTCACTTTCTGGGTTGACAACACATCAGGAAACCTCAATAGCTAGGTACACAAATCTGCATGCTGCCCCTGCTCTCTCAATATCAAGGGAACTAGTCTGGGGTGGGGAGATGGGGAGCCTGGTTTAAGGCCTATTTTCTGGATCTAAGCAGTTTCTTACCAACTTCCCTTAAAGACTGTTGAGCTCAAACCCACTTACCTCTCCTGTCAGGAGGAGTCAGGTACGTACGTGAAGCTCAACTCTTGATGGCTGTGACCACCATTATTCACGTAACTGTTTTCTACTTTCGAAAAAGAATCACATTTATGGCTTCCTCATTTAAAAAAACTCTATGTTTCTAGTCCAGCATTTTTAAGCACCTTTTCTAAATCCTAAGCTTTTGTTTTGTTTTTATTAGTTTATGAAGTCTATAGAAATTCTAATACAGAGAACCCTTCAGATAAAGTGGAGGAAAAATGTCCTTCATACATGAGATATGCTCAGAGGGTATAGAAATTAGAAGTAAATGCAATGGAGCAAAAGTGGTATAATAACAGGAAATATTTAATTTTCCAATCTCCACTTTCCATTTTTATAAACTGAAAGAAAAAATTTAATATATTACAAAATATCTGTACACAGACAAGGTATACCTGGTGAGGGGCAAAAAACTAGAGAAAGGAATACAGTGTCAGGAACCTAGGAATCAGGAAAATGAGGTGGCAACTGACACTTTTTTCTGATGTTAGCACTCTTTCTCAAAACCTACTGGTAACCATTTTAGCACTGTAACTATATATGCAATTACACACACACACACACACACACACACACACACACAGAGTGATGCCTATGGCATAAGCCAACAGAAGTCCTCCTTAGAAATCTGTGCTAACTGCCCTGCTTTGAACACATCTGATGTCATTTTCAAGTTCTCATCACTCCTAGGGACAGTTGAAAAACACCTAAGGAAACTGGGTCAAGCAAATTTGTTTTCAAAACCACAAATATGATCATGGTCAAACCAGCTTTGTCTCTCATTTGTGAACAGAATCAGATTTCTCCTCTGTTCAAAGTAACGTATTTAACAGGCTTAGCATCTCTCATGGTACAATAGTTAAAAATCAAAACCATTCTTGAATAAAATAACTGGACTTTTGACTTTTGAACAGTCATTCTGCTATTCAGCCAAACAATCCTTTCACTTTGACCACTTATAACTGAAAAATTACCTAACACCTTCTTTTTTCCTACAGATTCCAGGATATTTAAATGACTTTTTCCTCTGCTTTTTAGAAAGAGCCAAAAGTACAAAACATTTTTTTTTAATTTTACAGGTAAGACTCCCAAATGGGGGCAGGGATGAAATGGGACCATACATACCTACTCACATTCACACATTTACCCAACCCCTTCCCTAGGAGGGATGGGGGAATGGAAGCTTAAGTATATCCTTTAGAATATTTGGCATAATTAAACATACGCGAAGAGAGGAGGGGAAGTTATTGATGACTGCTGATAACCAAAATACAATGAAAATATACAGAGAATTTTATTCATATTTGATGGGAAAACAATTCTTTTTCACTGAACAGATACTTTGATAAGTATCCAAGGCTCAGCTTCTTTAATGAAAAACAGGAAAGGGGCCCAATACCTCAAATCTGAATATTCTAAAATATAAAGGCCCGTATCTGAAGACTAAGAAGTCAACAGAAAGAAGACTCAGATGAACTGTAATGGAATTTACTGACAGCATATCAATGTGTCTAGTATGTCTAATTTGACACACTGGTATGAAAAGCCATCAAAGCCGAAATGCCAGAAAGTTCTCTTACTCTTACTAATTAATGTTTGGCCTCAAGTACAAGGCCAGACCAAACACCAGAGAATAAAAAAGAAGTACACACATCAATCTCTACTTATTTCTGTAATGGGAAAAGTCTTCATGGAAGTATCTGAAGTGGGTTCTTTCGTATTTAAGGATTTTAAATTAATACACCTAGTACTTTTATTTTTAATGTAGGAACTTGGCATTGTAACATGAAAGTTGAGTTTCGAAAACTATTTCTCCATGATGCTGTAGCATGTTTTGCCTTTTTTTTGTACAGGAGAGTTAACCTAGAGTTCATAAAGGTTAACTCTGTGCTAAGTTTTATGACATGTATGTTTTTAAAATATGCCATATGCTGGTACTCACAGGAATGGAAGTCAGAATGAGAAGCATCCCAAGTTATCCCACCTTGAGAAGCTGTCTCTTTTCCAATTCCTATTTATAAGGCAAAGTTCTTGCCAGAAAGTTATAGTTTAACCTTTTTACCGAAACCAAATCACTGCAGGAAAATCCCTTAAAAGAATTGGCAGGATAATACATGCTAGGATGTGTACATGTCAATACTGTTCTTTCTCAAGTATGCTGTTTTAAAAGTTATTATTTTAAAATAAGGCTGTTATTGATATAGCTTCAGAAAAATACCCACTCTAAACTAGATTACATTTCCATGTATTTTGAGAATGTTTCTTTCCTTTTTGACATCACGATGCTGTTTGAAAGGATTTCTTTTTTTAACATGAAAATGTATGTGTAAACAATAATGCTAACTCCTATTAGCCCTCTAGGTGTATGGAGGCATCATCTCTAAGCACACTTCAGTAGCAATGCCCTATGCTGTCCACATTTACAAATCAACTTCCCCATCAGAACATGGTTTTTAAAAAACATTTTAGAATTGAAGAGTTACAGAGAACAATGTAGGATTTTGAATCTCCTTTCTTTTATTAAAAAAAAAAATTTATTCCAGGTTCTCAGGCATCTCAACCTTTTTTTTTCCAAACAAATGCCTCCAAAAAAAAGGGGGGGAGGGAGGGAAGAAGAAAGAATGGGGAAAGGAAGGAGGGAGAGAGGGAAGAAGAAGTACAGGAGAAATGAGAAGAAATAGAAAGACACTGAGTAAGGTTTATCTGCCACTTCCTACAACCTGCTTTATTGTGCAGGGAGGAGGCACAGCTTTTGCCAAAATGGAGCAAACTTTAAGAATGAGTAATTTATTTGGAAAAAAAGTTATATTCAAGATGCTCAACGGGGACAGGAGAGTGTTCACTTATAAACAAAAATGTGAGATGGTGGAGAGGAAGGAAACATTTATTTAAATCAGCCAGGCCACTCTGCTTCCCTTCTAGCAAAAGCCTAAGAGCAGCTTGAACACTACTGTGAACACTATTGTTTAAAGAGTGGGAAATCTATATTAAAAAAAAAAAAAAAGAAGAAGAAGAAAGAAAAGAAATCCAAAAAAAAAACCAACCCACAAAACT